AAAAAAAAAAAAAAAAAAGAAATAACCTCCCCATTTTCCCCTAATTATTAGCAGTATGCTTCACACATCTGTGAAGTTGTTTAAGATCACCACATTTTGCCTAAATGGTCAAGAAGTAAATTAACCATATTACACACCAAATATGTATATTCCATATTTCTTGATCCATATCAACCTTTTGCATTTTTAATAATATGTGCTGAAAAAGGTGCCCAGCATCCTGTATTATTTTCATGAACCTTTTGAGTAGTAAGCTATTAATCTCTCTTTTGATTTTTCAATAGAGCAAAAACCACAAATTCCTTTATTTCATAATCAGTATTGGGCATTGCCATTAATTATGGAAAGGTTGTGTGAAAAACCTCACATAGCATAGATACCTATGTTTACAATTAGGTAACTTTCTTTCTAGCCCTTAGTATCAGATAGATGCCTTGACTTTAGTACCAGAGTTTCGTCCATTAACAGTAAATATTGAATCATTAAAATATTCCGAGCAAGGTCAACCCAATAACAATATTATAATTATAAGCCAATGGGAAATAAACTTTAAAAGAATGTTCTGGCCTATCTAGACAGTCTAAATTCATAAAATAAATCAGAAGAAATTAGAAAATATTTTTAAATCCTCCTAAAAGATATCCTTGTTTAGAGGATCATGAGGCTTTGTTTGTTTTCTCTAATCATCTCAAAATTCTGCCCCAAACATCAAGAAAACATTCTCAAGAGAAAAAGAGGAAATATGTAATATTTGAACTAAAATAACTCATCCAGAATACACAACTTCCTTTGCTCTTTGCTATTCTGATAGTTCAGTACATTTCCACGTAGGACTCTCTCCCTAGAACGTGCAGGAAATGAGACGTCTCCAAGCAAACCAGGGATGCACAGTTTCACACAATGAAGAAGTGGTGAGGCTCAGGTGGAAGAAACGCAGCTCCCACTCGGAGGCATCAGAGGAGACATGCAGCTTCACTTTGACTCCTGCCTCCTCCATGGGGCTTGCAGACTGTACAGAATCTGAAAGAACACACATCAAGTGAACTAAAAGTAGTCCTACAGACAGACCTTTAAGGAGATGCACATGGGGCAAAACAAAAAGTCACTTTGAGTTTGACTTGGAATTCTCTTAAGTCCCCATCTCCCCAACACACACACACACACACACACACACACACACACACACACACAC